CATTTAGTTTATCTTTTCCCTAACAAGCAAGCTAAAAAGCATACCTAGCTTATCTTTTCCCATTTTCTTGACAAGATACTTTGTTAATTTTTGCTGAAGCAGAAGTTTCTTTCATTCCTCTGGGCGGGGGGTCTTAGCCTAGGCTCTGGGCCTGGGTCCCCACAAGTTGATGACCGCTGCTCTACACCAATAGTTCTCATTACATAAGTGGACTGAGTAAAATTTCTAAGGCATAGGGACAATGAATGGGGAAACTCACTATGCCGCCAGGTGGCGCTATTACAAACCACATCCCGTCGGTAGTGGCCACCAGGCTCAAGGCTTGTTTCCCAGCCAAGCACAGTATTGCAAGGAGGACAAAGTCTGGCTAGAGGAAATAACACCCCACCAACCCCCAAAAGTTCTCAAACTAAAACCTGATCTTACTTTATCTCTTAAAATAACCACATACTTGTACATGCTCAATATGCTTTTCACAAGAAAGAGGGGGGAAATATAAGTGAGAATATATGAGAATGTTAGGAAATCAATTACTTATAATAATAGCTTACTCATTACTTATAACAGTGCTTATTAATATAAAATTACTTATAATAATAGTTGACATGTGTTCAGCACTCCTATGTGGCAGGCACTGTTCTAAGCATGTCACACATATTACCTCATTGTGTCCTCACAGAAATCCAATGTATTTTTAAAATTTTTTAACTTTCCATTTTTCATACTTAAAAATGTAAAAATAATCAGAATTCCAGTATATCCTTCATCCAGGATTTTTCAAATAACATCTTACATAACCATAATCCGATCATCAAAACCAGGAAATTGGCATTGATACAATACTATTAACTAATGTACAAATATTCAAATTTTTCTAATCATCCCATTAATGTCCTTTTCCTTGTCCAGAATTCAATCCAGGATCCTACACTGAATAAAGTTATCGTTGGCCTCCTCCAATCTAGAGTAGTTTCTCTGCTTTCCTTGTCTTTCACGACCTTGACACTTTTGAAGACTGCTAATCAGATACTCATATTTTGTAGAACTTCCCTCAATTTGGGTTTGTCTGATGTTTCCTCATGATTAAGTCAAATTATGCATTTTTGGCAAGAACACCACAGAAGTGATGTGTGCCTTCTCAGTGCACCAGATCAGAAAGCCTATGACATCAATCTCATTACTGGTGATATTAACTTTGAACACTTGGTCAAGGTGGTGTCTGCCAGGTTTTTCTACTATAAAGTTACTATGTTTCCCATTGTAATTAATAAGTATCTTGTAGAGAGATATTTTGAGAATATGCAAATAGCCTGTTTCTTCTAATCATACTTTTGCCCACTAATTTTTAAAATCCATTGATGATTCTTGCCTACAATAAATATTTCTATGGTATTAGCCAAATGGTGATTTTCTATTTCCATCATTCTTTCTACATTTATTAATTGGAATTCTACTGTAAGAAAGAACTGTACCTTCTCTCCCATTTACTTTTCAATTATTTATTTATATAAGTAAAGACTCATGAATATTTATCAATTATAATCCATTACTATCATTCTTTATTATGTTGTTTACATTGCCCCAAAATTGACCATTGAGAGCTCCTACAAGTTGGTTTCTATGTCTTTCTGACATGTCATTTTTTTAACAGTTCTGATACAACGAGATGTTTCAAGCTCATCTTGTGCTTTAATGTCCCAGTTCTGCTACATATCCCTAGGTCTGGAATCAGCCATTTCTCCAAGGAGCCCTGGTTCCTTTCATGGTAGAATGGTATTCACAAACCATGGACATTAGGTATTGCCCATGTCTTCTAGTGGGCAAAGCTAGGAAACAGATGTATGCATACACACACTAATGTACTATTAGCTCCATTTTACAAATTAGGTAAATGAGGCACAGAAAAGTTAAGCAACTTGTCCAAAATCATAAAGCTAATATGTAGCAGAACTGGGACATTAAAATAATGATAGATCTACCATAAGTGGAAGTAACTTCTTTACACGTACAATTCAGCAAAAAGCAACAATCCTAATATTCCAATATAGACACTCTCTTTGGGAAATAACTAGAAGTCCGCAATTATAACCACAATAAAAACTATCATGTACTGATCACCTACTTGGGCACTGGGCACCCACAGTAGCTCATTTACTCCTAACAACTCTGCAAGGTAGATACTCCTACACTCATTTTACAAATCAGAGAACCAAAAATCAAAGCTAAGTGACTTGTCCAAGACTACATAGTTAAGTAGCAGAGCAAGTAGTTAATCCCAGTTCTGCGTGGGTATAAAATCCATGCTTATTCCACCATGTCAGTATTTTCCAAAGCTGTTTTACGTGGAACATAAAGTAGTTTTTATTTTAATAGTTATATGTTTATTTTAATGCATGTTAGAAAAATCTAATCATGTATCACCCTATAATTTCACAGATAATATTGCATAGGATAAGGTTATTTTTAAATAAATTAAGTTTACTTAAAGAAAACATATGGAGTAAATAATAGTAGAGGTGGTATAAGCTATAGCAAAAATCATAAAAGTGGTCCATAAATGCTATAGTAACATGCAGCTTCATTTTCAGTCACACCATAAAATTAGGGTGATGCAGGGCTGCAGAAAGTACAACAGATTAAGACTCTTGAGTTTTAGTTCTAGATTTGTCACCATTACCTTTATGAACTTGGGCATTTTGTTTGCTCTCTCTGGACCTCAGTTTCCTTGTCTGAAAAATAAGAGATAGTGATTTAGTTAATTAATACAATCCTTTTAAAAACAATTTGGTAATGATATCAAGAAACATAAAACTGTTCTTAACTTTTGACCCAGAAATTTCACTTTGGGAAATCTTGCCCAAGGCAATAATACAAAATTTGGAAAACAGTTACAAGCACACAGAAATTTATCAATATCCAGAAATAAGGCAATCTAAATATTCAGCAGTGGGAGAACAGTTAAATAATTTGTTGGGTGTATTGTGCCATCATTAGAAATGAAGATGACACTGCAACATGCTTATAAAGTGAACAAAAAGAAATTTGTTCACAAACTATGGTTATCATTATATAAAGAAAATCATATGCAGGAAACACACCAAAAGATCAACAGTTGGTAAGAATAAAGAATTTCTTTATTTGTACTTTTCAAATTTTCTCTAATGTAGTTGTATTACATTTAGAATGAAAAAACAACAACAACAACAACCTCAATGAAGGGATTCAACCAAGATTCTTCTGGCTCTAATATTCTGTGACTTTTCCCCGGAACTAGGAGTAGAAGTCAAGTGAGAATGAAATATTGGAAAAGTTCAGATGGCAGGGGCTTTGCCTGTTTAAATTACTTTAACAGCACTCAAAACAGCATATGAGAACATTTGGAAACTAGCACTTAGGAAATGGTGCAACACCCTCCATCTGTGTGGCAGAAAGGGCACAAGTCTGGGAAATAAGAGACCTGAACTGAACCAAATGATCTCTAAGGGCCCTCTCTAGACAACTTGTCCATCCACTTATTGAACAAATATTTACCAAGTGCCTACCATGTATCAGGAACCATACAGCTGAATAACTACTAAGCTACTGGTTCAGGGTCTAGAAAGGAGAAAGTTTTTAGTTTGCTAGGGCTGCCATAACAAAATACAACAGGCTGGGTGGCTTAAACAACAAATTTATTTTCTCACAGTTCTAGAGGCTATAGAGTCCAAGATCAAGGTGTTGACAAGTTTGGTTTCTTCTGAGGCCTCTCTCCTTGGCTTGTAGATGGACCCCTTTTGCTACACCCTCACATTGTCATTCCTCTGTGCACACACATCTCTGGTGTCTCTTTGTGTGTTCATTTTAACTCAATCACCTCTTTAACGGACCTATCTCCAAATACTGTCATTCTGAGGTACTGGGGATTAGGGCATCAACATGAATTTTGGGGGGACACAATTCAGTCCGCAACAGACTTCAAACAACAAACTAAAACTGCAACAATAGACCTGTATTTAAATATGATGGGGAATGATGTGAAGGCATACTTAATTCTGCCAGGAATCTCAGAAAAAGCTATACAGGGGACACATCATCTGGGCCTTGTTCTAGCTCCAGAACCTCAAGTCTGTATATAAACCATCATCCTTGATTGTCATAAAAATATTTGAGGTATCACAAAATGGCAACAAGGCAGCATTGGGTGATAAAACATACCTGAAAAGAGGCATGGCTTTGTTTCAGAGAAACAAAGGTAAATACCATGCTTTTATTTTATAGTTGAACTAAAATTAGGGATTCAAATACAGCAAACTTGGAGGTCAGGTGAAGATCCTGGAATTATTATGGAATGATCTGCTCCTTGCTCTCATTCCTTAATTCATGAGAACTTTAATGTGTGTGTTGGGGGGTGGGGTAAGGTCTTGATGAAGCCCCACCTTTTGTCCTCTCTTCCATCCAGAAGCCATTCTTTCTTCACATACCTCTAATTAAGCTTTTCTCTAGGCCCAATTTTCAACCTCAATTCCTTATCCATTTAAAATACTCCTCTCTTGAGTACTTGAATTAAAATACTCTTAGATCCCTGTGCAAAAAAGAAAGAGAAATGGAACTGCGCTGACCTAGGTAGCACAAATGCTGGGGGACCATTTATTTCTGTTGGCCCCTTCCCTTTCTAGTGCCTGGAAGTGACCTGTTTCCTTCCCACAGGAGTTGCCAGAGGCCACAGGGACAAACACCAGGCTTCTGGGAGGTGGCTCCAGGAAGGTGGCCAAGAATGTGAGTGCAAAGGTCAGTAACTCAGTATCAACAACAGCGATTCACCATCTCAATCCCAACTCTCTCCCCTGAGTCCCTGGGACCAGTGCAGAAGTTGTCTGAGCTGACTCACCCATTCCCCTCTCCACCAGCCCACCACATGCAGCACCAACATTTTTTTTCTTCCTCAGTCTCAGTCAAGAGCTGGACTTCTAAATCTCTGCCTGCTCCCTCCCCCTTACTTTTCCCCTAAGAGCCCAGGACTGCCTTCCAAAACTTCCTGGATATTATTCTCAACCTTATTTTACTCACAGGTAAGATGGAAATCAGACAGGCAAAATGGCTTGCCCCAGGTAAAGCAGCTATTAAAGGCTGATACCTAGATTTTATTCCTTATTTTTGGGTCTCCTTAATGATATCCCAATGCCCTCTCCATCATATTTTTAGCCAACACAGGTAAAAAAAAAACTTCTCAGAAATATATGTGTATATGTATCTGGATATCTTCACTGTTCTGTACTGACCCTTTTCTTCACCCATTGCAGTAAGAAAAAGGAAATGGACAGCAAGGAAGGTGGTGGCAAGTAAAGCCCTGCCCTACTCTCAAATATATTAACCCTCCCGTCTAAGTAGCAACCCTGTATTTCAGATTGGTTACTGAGAGCTCCTAGAAGAAAACTCATGGCATTGCCCAGGCTGCCAAAGAAGCAGTGTCCCTGTGATCATGTCAAGGGCAATGTGAGAAAAACCAGTAAGTTTCAAAAGAATGACCTTCCTTAAACCAGAGTCACTCTGTGGAATCAACTAGGGGTGAAGCAAGGGTTGAGAACAGACAA